GCTCCTCGCCGGCCCCACCTGGGGCCTGGCAGGGCCGCAGTCCCCCCACGCGGGGCTGTGACGGCTTCCTGCTGCCGTTGGGGCTTGGCAGGGCCGCAGCCCCCACACCCAGGGCAGTGACAGAGCTCCTACCTGCTCCGGGCGCTGACAGGGCCGCTCCTCTGTCCCCGGAGCTGGCAGGACAGTGCATCCCCGGGCCTCGCTTCCCTCAGGGAAAACTCTCCCTACCCGACCCTATATAACTCTGCGTGAGGCTATTCTGAGGTAGAGGTTTTGCCAGAGGAGTGCCCTGTAGTGTCTTTAATGGGTATTTTAAGATGGGTGGCTGCCAGGCTCGGAGGCGGCTGGCCTCCCTGCCACTTTCCATCCTGCCTGTGCTGAGGAGGCATGAACAGCTGGCACGGTGTGTCCTGGAGGGCACTGCGCCAGTCCTGCCATCCTGTCCCTGGAGCCGTGGCTCCGGTCCTGCAAAATGGTCAGTGACTTGCCAGGCCCTGCAGGATCCCTGATCCCAGCTCAGTCCTTCTGGTGCCTTTATGCCCTGTTGTCTTAAGTCTTCCTCAGAGACCTGAGGGCTGTAAAGATTACAGCTGCAAGGTGAAGTTAGGTTTTCCCTCCATTGTATTGGCATGCATTTATTTTAATATGGAAGAAATAGCAGCTTCCAAAAAGCATCTTCATTCAGTTGCTTTTTGGTTTTATTTCCCATCCTTTATTTAGCAATATGAGTTTTGCTGTTACGAGGAATTTTCTGTGCTTGGACTTCTCTTGTGAGTTCCTGCCTGTGATCAGTTTTGGCTTTGTGCTAGAGGTGTTTTGGACACTTCTGCTTACAGTCTTGTTTTTTTCCTACTGTTACTCCCTGATTTCATCTTTCCTGGAGAAGCTCTGGAAGAGGTGTCCCTAAGATGTTTCTGTTAAGCCTCATATTTTAAACAGATTTTATTTTCATTTTTACTTAGCCACCATGTCATACCACAGCATAGTACCTAGAGTCTACAGTGATGCAAGTATGGTGCCGCCAATTATACACTACTTAATTAAGCTAGTCTGTTATTTCACTGTTTTTCTTTTACAGAGTTTTTATATAGTGATATTTTGTGCGTTTGGAGGATTTGAGGATTTTTAGTTTTGTGGCGTTAAGTAAAAGAAGCTGATATGGGTTTGTTGAGGACTGATGATCTCAAAGCATTTGGTAATACACTTGAGAGTAACCGTACAAGATAAACACCAGGGAGAAAAGTACAAAGAAGAAAAAAGATGCTAGCACAAGGCCAAATCCCATGCTGTTAGCATAGCTATCCCTGTTTATACCCACTGAAAATCTGACCTGCAGCCTTCATCGTTTTAGATTAGCATCCTGTGTGGCAGCAGGTGTTAACAGATGACACAAGCACAGCAATTTATCTGGTTTGTGCTGCTTCAGTTTGAATATTTGCAACATCTTACAAAACTACATTCCTTTTAACTTGTGTAGCGTGAAGTAGGGCAGTGAAACATATGCTGGATTGTATTTTAACTGCAGTACAGTAAAAAACAGCTTTAAATTGCTGCATGAATTCATTATGTTCCTATTCTTCAAAGTATTAACTTTTTTTTTACTTTTTTTTTTTTTTTTTTTTTTTTTTTTCACAGGAACTGAATATATCAGTTTGGAAAACCAAGCAAAACAAGGACAGACTTTAAAAAGCTTGATTACAGTTTATTTTTGTTGCATGTAATTTTCAATAAGAGTAGTTTATTCTAACAGCTGTAATAAGCATAGCAGATTTGAAAGCGCTTTCATGACTGCTGGGTCTCTTTGTCTCTGATGATGGAGGTGTCTTAATTACTGTTTGTTTTTGTAAATTTTAAGGATTAGTCATGCTTTGATGCCAGATGACTCAGTTATACCGTACATTTTCAAATCTTTGCATTCAAAGGCTTGATGGAGTTGGGTCCTGATAGGAAACACTGCTTCAACCCATAGTTAATCTTTCAGCAAAAGCATTCTTGTATGTCACGGCCAGCTCTTAATCTGTTTATATGGAAGTCTGACAGTTTTGGAAGATACCTTTTAATGTGCACACTTCCGTTACTGCATCTGTCTTTCTGCAACTTTTATTTGCTGGGTAAATGAAAATTGTCTCCAGATCCTGTTGACACAAGAGGTGGTGACTAAAATGTGGATCAGAACTTCTTGCTCCATGAAAGAAATGGCAGATCTCCTGTTGACTTAATAAGGCTGAGGTTTTGCTCTAGCTTCTGTTATTGCTATTCAGAGGGCTTTGGTAGTTTGTGTCCACAGAGCCTGAAGAGTGTTTCTGGGAACTGAGAACGTGATGTTTCTTTCCAGCCACCACTTTCATTTTGTGACACTGTTCTAGTTTTGGGAAGTCCAGGGAATGATTTTCATAGTGTGAAGATTGATTTGGAGCATTAAATCCCCACCAAACATACAAGTAAACCATTACCAGGAGAGTCTAGCGTAGCTGTGGATGCTTTATTTGGTAGGAACTGCATCTTTTGGTTGGATCAGACTTCATGGCTTTGTCATGTAACTTTTGTAGAGACAACCAGCCTCTCTTGGCCTTCTGCTCCCTCATCGATCTTATTTATAATGCATACCTGCAGCTGTGCAGTCTTCTTGTTTACTGGGACAGCCATATTGCGGCCTACTTTTCTCAAATGCTAAATAAATCATTAGCAGGACTGAGGAGCCATGATTTCATTTCAGTGATTTCTATTTCAAGCAAATAATTATCACCTGTTCATGCAGTGTTTAACACAATTGTAAAGGAAACATTGGACCCCTTACACACTGTTTAGCACTCTCTTGGCCCACATTATGCCATCCTCCCTTGCACTGCTGTGACTGTCATGCCCATTACACTCAGCCCAAGTTGGTGCCCAGCATCCCACAGCCCATTCCAGCACACCAGCACAGCAGTGTTCCTGCCCCCTGCACTGTTCCTTCTCTCCTGGCTGCTGACACCAAGTTGGTCAAGATGTCCTTGTGTTCAGTATCCCCCCACCCCAACATCCTGTCTTCTGCGTTGGTTTCCTTCAGATGAGAGATCTGCCTGTAGCCAGAGCTTCTCCAACATGCTCCTTCCTCCAACCTCTCCTTGCCTTACAGACTTTTTTTTTTTTTTTAATGGATGTCAGTGCTTTGGCCCAAAGTGGAGTAGTGCAGTTGGAAGAAGTTGGATGGACTGGAGAGAAATAGCGTACCTGCCAGCTGTCCACAGTAAAGCTAAAGGCTGGATCCAGTTTGTGAGGGGTAGTTCCCTTGAACATAAAAACTGTGCATGGGAACTCTTGAGAACAAGGCCCAGGTCATTGCAAGAAGTGAGTAGGATTGAAATTGCTGCTTTCTATTCAGATCCTGGTTCTGTAGAGTTGAGCACTTTACATTCAGAGGGCTCCAGAGACACCAATTTGTAAATTATAAAATGTATTACAAACCAACCTAATGCCTTCAGTGTTAGCCTTCAGCTTAAGAACAATGATCAACATGTACAGAAGAGCATGCTAAAAGTGGCAATCTACAAGAGCAACCACTGATTAGAATCTATATATGTTTACTGTGATATATGTGAAAACTGAGTTACTTAAAACTTCAAACTGAAATGAATGGGAAATTGTTTTATCTCTTGGGGGAAAAGAAAGTTGTTTCAAACTGCTAAACTTGAATAAACAAATAGTCTGTGCAATAAATAGTTACACGATGCACAATTAAGATAAAAGATGATTAGTATGCTAACATTTTATATGGGTTTGGCTACATTAAAAAATAGAGGTATATAGTTATCTGTCTTCAGTTCTGAACTATAACTATGTTAATGTGTCTCAGTACATACCTCATCGTATTTTATAGGTGGCAAAAGTGGAATATGTTAGAAAAAAGCCAAAATTAAAAGAAGTTCTGGTGAGATTAGAAGAGCATATGGAATGCACCTGTACATCATCAAATACTAATTCAGATTATAGAGAAGAAGAAACTGGTATGTTTTCCTTTTATTTTTGCATTAATGCTGACTTAATATGGGCCTTATTTTTATATTAGTAAAGAATGTAAAGCAAACTTTGCTTCTAGGGAATTCAGTAGAGAAGCTCCCAGCTACTTCTCTGTGTGTCGAAGATGCAAAATTAGGGACAGTTTGTGCTATATAAAGAGTTTGGATTTGAAGTTTAACGTGTATCAATTCTCATTAGATTAGCCTTTAAATAAATGTAAATGCCCAGTAGTATTCAGGTCTTACTGCATTGAGTTAAAGGTTGCTGTGTTGCAGCTTATTGGTGAACTCTGTTGCCTAATTTCTTTAGACTTTTTGGAGACAGGGCTAAGGCTGAGATTTACTTGACCTTGGGGAAAATATTAATGAAGTGAACATTAAGCACTGAGGAATAAATTCAGTATTCAAGACTAAGGAGTTTTGAAACAACATTGCCTGTTCCTATTGTTTTCTTACTTTATTTATAATCAAAAATGTATTGTCTGTTGTCACATTAAACCTAAGTTTGCCTTATCAAGACAACATTTAAGTTGCCATGGGGAAAGATTTATGGCGGAAAATATTTACTTTCAATATGACTTTCATAAAACCAACTAAAATCATTAGCTCAGATCCTCTTACTAGGTTGCAGTCAGTGCAGCACTTGACACATTCAGGAAATGCACTACAGTAGTTCTTCTGATTTTGGTTGAAGGCAGGCTCAAAAGCTTGTTTTGCACCTCTGCTGGGCATTTAGGGGCACAGCACACCCAGCCCAAAATTAGTGTCAGTGAAGAGCAGGTAAATACAGGAGGAAAGTGGCCCAAAGGTGGTGGATTTTGTAGGTGGCTGGGTAAGGAAGGGTTGTCTGTACTGTCTCCATCCAGCGTGGAGACATAAATCTGGTCTAACTGAATGTAAACTTCAGCTGCTTTGTACAGAGCAGAAGAATTAGAAGTTGTATAAAAGCAAAGTTAGGCCTCTGCTGTGATTTTATTGGACATCAAGTTATAATCTGAGCTGAGTGTTTTAGCTGAAACTAGGTTGAGTTATGAGTAGACCAAACCACATTTAAAATGGTTATTTTTATGTGTGTATGGTTTGATATTTTTTCTATGTCTTCTATTTGGAAAAAAAAAGTTTCATTAGATTAATTTCAGTTTTCCAAAATGTCTTTAATTGCCAAAGACTAAGCAGTTAAGATTTTTCAGATTAAAACTTTTCTTTTTGATGTGTGTGAAAAATGGGATAGAATTGTCATGGAAGAATATAGATTTCTAGGATTTAATTACTGATAGGAATAAAACTTGCACCAGCAAGTGGATGGTGAGCTGAAAATAGCTTAACTACAGAGCTGAAAGCAAATGTTGAATACTGCATGGTAACAGTAATTATAGATGGCTCTTGGAAATGACGTATGCAATGCCAACTTCGTTTATTATTTCTTTACTTTTGTATAATTACTTTGTAAATGGAATGTCAAATCAGACGTTATAAAGTTATTGCTTTAATGCAGAGGATAATGAAACTTCTTTGAAATGTAAATGGTTTGAGTATTTATTACTTCAGTGTTCAACGAAATGCATTACCTTAGGGCTTTTTACCAGCCCTGCCCTTATGTTAACAGGAAGGCCTAGGGAATCAGGTAAAAAACGGAAACGAAAAAGGTTAAAACCAACATAAAACCCACTGGAACTATTTGATATTCAGGTAGGACCTATATGTTGAACACCCTAATAGCACAAGTACTGGAAAACTTAATCAAATATCATCACTTCAACTTAATCACTGTTCAGAATCTTGACACTTGCTACCTCAAGGCTGCAAAGAGATTAGATTTGATTGGCTTTGATAATTCTACCTGCTGGTATTTTTCCTTCAAGCTCCACATCACCATCAGCATCTTACATTCTTGAGCTACTTCCTTTTCTTGCCTTTTTTAATTTCTTTTCTTTTTTTTTTTTTTTTTTTTTTTTTTTTTCCATTGCCTCTGCTTTTGTTTCATTATTATTGATTTCTGAGGTCAAAGCATCATGTAATAATGCATGAATGAATTGCCAGGTTACAAATTCTTGCGTTCCCAGTCATTGGCTGTAAAACATTGAGTGTACATACAGCAAATACTATTATATCCATGACCATCAAACCCATGTCTTGGCATGAACTGGGATTGATTGTACATGCACCTGAGACGGTCTGATGATCTGCCTACCTGACAAGGAATATGCTTAGAAATACATTTTTTTGTTGCAGGGCCCTGTGTTACTTACACCAGAAAATTAAGATTTTTTTTTCGTATCTTTAGCCTCAGTAGGATGATGACAGTCAATCATCAAAATTAATGAGGTTTTCAGTGTAGCGAAAAGCTTACACCCTCATTGCAAAACCGTCTGAAGTCCTTTGGCCAACATATTAGCAGTGTATGATGATGACAATACACGTTTCAAATTAAAGCGGAATTTCCATTTCTTAATGACTTGAAATTATGTGAACTGCAGCACTTGCAATTGATTCCAGTATTTGGAGCGGGAATGATTTCGATTTTACAGTGTACCCTTACACCTGGATGTTGGTGAATTTAATTTCAAGCACCTATTTTTGCGCGTAAACTCCCAGTGGCAGTTTTCATTTATACTGATGTATCGTTTCTAAAGAATGCTAAACTTGATATCCTGTTTCAGATTAACAGGTATTTATTGGGAGTAGTATGATAGAAGCAAAGATTTTCTAAAATTCAACTTTAAAAGTGAGCATGTAAACTCAATCAAAACAGCATTTAGAGCTTCTTGTCCCAGGTTAGTGACTCTTCATGCAGAACAGTTTTTTTTAAGTCATCTACTTAGAGGGTAGGACCTTTGATTCTAATCATAGAGTTATTGTATCTTTTTTCTCTCCTGCAGATGTAAGGTGAAAATAAGCTAGAAAAAAAACTTCTCTCTGGGACATGGATGTACATGGTTTGTTACATTCCTGAACCTACTATGTATGGTGCTTATTGACTGTATACTTTATTTGTTCTCCTGTGTGAAAAAAACTGGCTCAAAAGAACACTTAATGAGAACAAAGAGACAATGTACATTTGTTTAATGTGACATCAAAGCAAGTATTGTAGCACTCTGTGAAACAATAGGAAGCTTCCCTGTCCAAAAAAGAAAAAAAATGAAAGAAAGAAAAACAGAAAAGAAAAAAAGACAGTTTGAATGAATGGAGGATACCAAAAGTACTCAAAAACATGACAAAAATCTAAGTGAATAGTGGATTTCTGTCAGAGCAGTCAACGGTGCTTTACGTCAAGAAATGTGCCTGCGTTCTTGATGAAGATGGATGGACACTGGTGGACTTCAGGCACAAAAAAAGCAGGAATGTATGAAATGATCAAATGCCACGCAAACACTATAGAACAATACATCCTTGCTTGGTGGTGTTTTAAAAGTCTATACAAAAAAACCTTCTGGGGAGCCTTAAGTGGATTTTTTTTTTTTTTTTTTTTACACCATAAAGTGATTATTAAGTTTTCTTTTTACTCTTTGCCTAGCTTTTTATTATCTCTTGGACTACATTTGCCAATAACACATATAAAAGACTGGTATAACAATAAGCAGAACACAAAACATTATGGTATTTCTCCTAGTGGGATGCAAACTAATGAGATGTATTAAAATAAAAATGGTATACCTATGCATAATTTTCTAGACGTTTCTTGGTTTATGTTCCCCAACTTCCCCCGTAATTTAAAGCATTACATAAAAAGAAAAAAGAAAAAAAAGAGAGATGTGCGTAAACAAATCATAGGATATCCATGCAAAAATCCTTTTTCTTTCCTTTAAGACTTATGCCAGTTGCCTACTAGTGATATTGTGTTAGCAATTGTCATTCTTATCAGTATACAGATACTTTTATTTCACATGTTGGAGCTGTGTGAAATGTACAAATTCTTGTATCTGCATTGTACAATGTCATGGTGGCATGGGAACTACCTTGCTGCAAATATTTGAACAAAACCTAAAATTCTTTATTTTTGGTAAAATGTTATGCTTTATGTGTATTCAACAGAAATATGTGTTTTTGTAAAGGTGAAGTTTGTATTTTTATCTAAAAATTAACAGTTTTATATACCTGAGAAAGCCTGCTATGTTTTCTTGAACCAAAAAAAAAAAAGAAAAAGAAAAAGAAAAAAAAAGCATTTTGTGGTCATATTTTTGTAGTAGAATAGCCCAAATAACATCAAAATCTATTTTAACTATAGCAGGGCAGATAAAATACTCTGGCACCAGTTCCTATGTTTTCAAAGTGCCAAAGGATTAAATGTTCAGTTCCCCACAGATTGCAGTGGGAGCCACATGGCTAAATCCTTCTGTACTGCTTTGGAAATTTAGGGCTGTGCCAGATATGACATGGCTACTCACTTGGCCAAAATCACTGCCCCACCCCAGTAGTTTGGATTATGTACCCTTTGTTTAATTTGGATTATCACATTGGGTATGTGAAATGAACTACTGCATTCTTTTATTTGTGAAGCATCTACAAAGAGATGAAAGAGTTTTCTTAGTTTGGAACGACAAAAAGGTTTGTCTTGAAGAAAGTGTTTCCACTTAAAATATCTTCAAATGTGAATGAACTGCAGAACCTTAAAACAACAAAAGAGAGATTTTTAACTTTCCATTTCTTTAAATATAGTTCAAACATTCCCCTCCTCTTCCTGTAGCTATGTCCAATTTCAACCAAACAAAGCAATGTTAGCTAACAGGCATTATTGGCTTCAGATGCTAATGCAGAGATAGAGTTAGTCACCGTTTTGTGATCATTTTCCCAGTGTATTTGTTGAGCACCAAAACTGGAAATACATTTAACTAAGATTGTCTGTGCTTGTTTTCCACTGAGTGTACTGTTCACAATGTTATGCACATGAATGTATGTGTCTGCGTTTAAAAAAGTGTATAAAATGTAATTTATATATTTATGTTTCAGTGGGATGCCAATAATGTTGCTCCGTTCCTTTTTTGTCTAAAAGATATCTAATGAAAAAAAACATATATCCATTAAAATCATGTAGATGAAAAGCATTATGTGACCCACTCAGACACTGTGCAGGTATGAAAGGATGTCAAAGTCACTTAAGTGGAATAATTTGCAAAACAACTTTTTGAGAGTCCTGTTGTTGCACTGGCATAAGAAGGTTGCATTCAGATCTGTGGGCCAGCTTCCCTGGAGTAACTCCATTGAGTATAATGGAGCTCTGCTGATTTACATCACGAGTGAGTCTGGCCCTGTAGTAAAGTCTTGGAAAAAAAAGCAAACTGAGAGGCATGCATTTTATTGGTGCCTGTAAATAAATGTGCTATGTATGCCAACTTCAGAAAACCAGGAGAGAATGAAGACTGAATGGAGTCGATTCCCGTAGTTGTTTGTTTGAGACTTGTGGTCTCGAGTTAATTTTGTTACCAGTAGTGAAATGCACATGAGTCTTTGTTCTCAAGCACAGTGTCTATATGGCATGCAGCAGAAAACACAAAAATCTCAGGGCTATATTCTCAGCTAGTATAAATTGGCAAATGTTTTTTACTTCAGCCGCCCCTAAGCTAATTTACATCAGATGAGGATCCAGTCCACGGTTTTTAAAATCATAGGAGTAGTGTCACGACGTGAGCATCACTTACTGTAGCGCAGCTGAGATACTGCCTGCCAGCCTTTTGAACATTACGGGCTGTGGTATTAGTCCTTCTTCTTCAAAGTGGCAGATACAGCCAGAAGGAACAGTAACGTTAAAGGCTGTGACACAGGAGACATTAATTCAAAGTTAAGTTGGACATTTCAAGGGCCATATCCTCAGCTGGTGTAAATCACCATCACTCCATTGCCTGCAATGGAGCTGTACCAGCTTACACCACTTGAGGGGCTGGTCCCTCATTCTTGCTCATCCCTTTCGCTACTCGGTCCTGCAGGGATCTCAGATTGTTGTGTACGGTTAATGTAATCCTGTGTTCTCTAATACTTAAGCACAATAAGTGAATATAAGAATGAGTGTCAGACTTAACTTTGAATGTCCAAGCTCTGAAATGGTTTGTTTCACCATTGTGGCTGTAAATTAAACAGTTCTCTGTGCATTTGTGAATGCCGTGTCATATCTTCTTCCACTGTCTGCTGGAGGTGGACTCCATCTGGACTTTTGAAGTGCTGCATTTGGAGTGTTACAGGGAAGGGTGTGAACACTCGGAGCTGCAAGATACCTGATTAACAGCCCTTGTTATTTGTGGGGTGGGGGGCTAGTAGGGGGCTTAATGAAGGAGTTGAAGATGGTAGTTGTTTTAAGTCATGTTTCCATGCAATCCTTTAACACCTTGTTGGTTTTGTCCTTGCATATACTAGGTAGGGATTTGGGGATAAAACATTTTTCTGTTTTACATTCTGCAGTCACTTCCTCTGTCCAGAGATTCAGAAGTTGTTGGTCTGATTTCATCTTTTTTGAGGTCTCTTCTGGACAGAAAGTATATGTGTAGGACATTGCTCGAAAACAATCCCTGTGTTATAATATGGTGCATGATCACCGATTCTGTAGTCAATTAATTATATTTAATTCTGTGCTTCATCTTTCCAGAGCTGCCCTTCAGTTGCTTTTGTTGAGTGAAACCGAGGATTACGTGGCAATTTGCTTTCCTTTTCTCCTGTCCTCCGTCCTGCTTGGCATCTGCTTTATTAGACAGTGCGCGGTGACTACAGGCAGTTGCTCCTCTCCAGCCCTGGAGTTTCCTAGGCAGCTCCAGCACTTCTGAGTCTTTGAGCTTAGGCTTTTTACTCTGCTTGGAACAGCATCTCATGGGTCTCCTCCCTCCAACGGGCTTCAGAATTCCAGCTATGAGGTTCTCTTAGCTGTCCTCGGGTCCATGTTGCCCTTCTGTGGTCTACTTTCCAGCTATTCTCTGCCTGACTTTCCCATCCCTCTGTTTCTGTCTCTCAAAAATTATTCTCCCTTCCTAGGATCTGTCTCATCATGTCTCTTCTTTCTTGTCCTGCCTGACAGAACAGCCTTTGATCTGTTTATCTCCAAATCAGTTGCTTTATCTAGGCATGTGCCCTGAGATCCTGTCTCCCAGGCCTACAGGTTCATAACTGACCCCCATGAAAGACAAATGCTGTTACATAGAGACGTTTATGGAGAGAAGAAGATTCATCTTTGCATTTGAAAAAATACTCATTACTGAAGGCTCCCTGCTAAGGCTCTGTCCAATTCCAGTGACAGTGCAACTCTGGAATAGTGGCATTGAAGCTATTCCAGACATCTGACAGTTCACTTAAGATCAGTGGCCCCGTTTATAATTTAATTTGAAAGTGTACCCAAAAGCAAAGATAAAGTTTCAAAGCTACCTCAGATTTTTATGCTCATATTTTACTGTAAATTGAAGGGAATCATGGTTGTAGGCCCCTTCCATGGCTTTGAAAATCTTACTCTGAATATTTATTTGCCCCTCTCTTGGGCTGGAAATCATGGCTGCTTTGGAACAGAAACAAGGTGGAGGTTTTCAATGAAGTAATTTTCTTGGTGTTTCTAATACGCCGCTTCTAGTACTAGTAGATCTCAGAAACAGATTCAGGTAAAAATTTAAACCCATAAGAATCCCACTTAAATTTGCTTTAATTCCAGGTAACAGAGAAAAACCTATCAGTGTTGCCTTCCTCAAAAATCAGCCTATGTTTTGTGTTTATTATTCCATTTAATTACTGTGTGTTTTCCCTCATTTTAATATCAAGGTATTATTCCATGTCTGAACTTTTATGTGCTGCTCTTTGCTGTAGCATCTCTGCAGCACAGCCTTGAACTGATCTGTACTCATATCTCCTCTGAAATAAAGAACTATTGTTATCCCATTTTAGGCGAGACCGAGGCATGGAGAAATGACTGTGCAAGGTCACACAGCAAGGCTATGGCAGAAGCAGGGATAGGACTCAGATCTGAGTGCTCATCCAGTGCCCTAAATCACACGACCATCTTCCCTTTCCAAGAATGAATCCTTGCACCCTTAGAGCTAAATACTGAAAAGATTGAGGGTAAGTCATTTTGCCTAATTATTGTGCATTGGATACATGAACAAAAACCACTGCCATATTGTCAGAGAATATAGTGACTGATGAAAATCCAGCTTTCTGCCCATGCAATTATGTAGCCTTTTATGCTATCATGAGCTAGTCATTTCCTGCATCTCTAAGGAGTCAATCTTTTGTGACTTATAGTGAAAATTATGCACATAGAACCAATCAGCACTCAGATTTTATGGGAATTTACAAAAATTCAGTAGACAATTTTCATTGTACTTCCCTTCAGTGTCATTCATTCCTTTTATGGTGTGGGTAACATTTCCTAGGGGAACGGGTTTTATCATGGGCCCAATCCTGAATTTTTTTCCCAAGACCTAACATGGAAAAGCACTTTAAGAGGTGCCTGTGTTTGCCCTTTCTTCAAACTAGTGCCTAAGCATGCTCGCAACTTTGGACAAACATCCCATTGACCTCAGGCAAATGGAGCAGAGTTGATGCTTTATTATTCTTTTTAAGTAGGGTGTGCCTTCCTGACACAGGATCCCAGTTGTGGGATGGGGGGTCTTTGTGCTCTTAGAGTGTTAAAGTATGTTGTAAGCAATGCCAAAGATGAAGTAACAAGACTAGAATATTCAACTAGAAAAACAGCTGGTAGAGTTCCACTCTCTTCTACTCCTGTGAAGGTGGCCATTTTGAAATACGTATTTGTTCTTTTCTGGGAAAGTACTTTCCTGATGTGGGTGGATTTCAGGACTGCAATTGCTAATGCCAGTGAGCTGATTTAGGATTTTCTGTTTGGGTACCTCAGAGAATATAATTTGAAAACTCGTACCCATAACAGACAAATTTGAGATGGGAAAACTGAGCAAATTTCATGTGAAATTTAGCAACTTTTAGCTGAGGGAAAAAAAAACAAAAAAGAATTGGAAAATAAAATGAACAAGATCAAAAGATTGATCATTAATTTTTCAGTTGTGGAATGTTACCTATCTCTTTAGTCATTCTAATTATTTGCTGCATCAGGCTAAATTATGTGCTGAAGTAGCTCAGAATCACTACCACACGTAAAAAGTTATGGCTGTTTCTCGTTGAACTGCTACCTATTATCATGGCATATGACTGTGAGGTGGGGCCTGCAATCGCAGTTGTAAATCAAAGAACAAGTCATAGGTTAGGTACTGTTTTCCTTAGATATTGTCTCTAAGTTTGTTTTCTCTATGCTAGTCTCTTGAGTGAAGTTTGGTGAGCTTTTCAGTTGGGTGTAAAGTCAAGAACATGTAGTTCTCAACCTGAATCTAAGGAAGTGCTGACTCTTAGTCTTGTTCATAATCAATAGATGAAATTCTGGCAACATCCTGGTGATAGAATTTCTGTCCCTGAAGGTTTCAGTGTCATATTTTTCCAGTGCTACTTCTTCCCCTAGAAGGGAATCCAGCCATTATTATATTTGATTCATTAGCAGGCCATCAAATCTGACTTGGTTTGAGTTTTTAGCATCTAAAAATTTCTCTTTGGATTGATACTTGTGCATGCCAAATGTCTTCCAGAATCTTAGATAAAAATACACAAAGAAAGGCTGACATGTGTGTTTCAATAGAAAAGAAATCCACATGTGAAGGCTGGAGTAGTCCCTCAAACAGGGAAATAAGGAGCCAAGTTTGTAAAAAAGTGTTGCACAGTCATCTTCTCAAGATCAGACCTGGTGTTTTGGCCTCTACATACTGTCTTTGATCTTGCATAATGAAGGCAACTGGTTTTACTGTCCACCTTTGAAATTGAGAGTAGCTGTTAAGATCAGGCATGCAAAAAACAGAAGCACCCAGAGATACAGTTGAGCCCATGGCTCTTGAAATCCCCGGGGGATTTTGAAAATATCTTGATGCTTGACAGCAGTCACAAGTAAGTAGAATAAAAGCATTTTAAACACTTCTGAAAATCCCACCCTGGTTTATTTGGCAGGTGAAAAAAGAATCCAGGAAATATACTACATATAATGATCATTCAGTGACAAAGTAGGTGTTCATAGAAAATGCTCATGCTTAAATCTTTCAGCAGTTAATGATCATCTTTACAGACCATAATACCCGAATACTTCACTTATCGATACATCAGGGCTTGGATGAACTTTGAGACGTATGAAAATGGGACACTCCTTAGGCCAGTGGTAGCTCTATGTTCTAGTAACTGATCAACCAATTACATAATTGGCCAGATCACCAGCTTGCATAAATAGATACAGCTCCGTTGACTGGAGATGAGAGTTACCTGAGAATTGACCTGAAACTCTTGCCGTGAAGCAGATAATGGTTTTATATTTTGCTGCTTAGTGTTGTAAAAATAGACTCATTTCCTGGAGCAGTTAAAACAAGAAAATCTGGAAAACCAATTTCCCACAGAGACTCATCCACACTGGAATTTGCCAAGGTCCCCGGATGTGAACATGTGCTCTTAGAAAACATAAACCAGCAACTTTGTTTAGGGAAGCCTCTGACCTGTCAAAAATGCGGAGCATTTGTTACCAGACTTTTCCTTGGCAATTAGCGGGTAGAATTACTCATAGAAATTGTTTTGTTTGCTCACAAGGGGAGAAGAAAGACATAAATTCAAGATATCCCCTCTCTGACCACAAGAAAGAAGGCTCTGTTCACAGAGGGCCTGTGGGTGAAGTGCTGAGCGGCCTCAGCTCCCTTTGGGGTTGAACTCAAACTTGTAAATCTCAGTGAAGTATCAAGATCCCTCCAAAATTGCTGGACATCCCTAGCTGTGATATTTTTCAGCAGTTTAAGGGATTTGGGCATCTAATTTTAGTTTGTTTTTACAAGACTTTCAAGAAGCCTCAGTTGGCTTCATAATTTCTCTGACTTTGTTTTGCAGAGAGACTAATCTTGACCCAGGGTTTTCACCATGAATGTTGCCTTCCTTCTCTAGGTAGTGGCACTAAGACCTTAGGGGTTTTTTCTGCTGTTTGGTGTAGATGTTTCCCAGCAGTGACTTTTCAAGCGCCTGTTGTGCCCTGTTCACTGATGGGACACCCTGGCTTTTCACATGGGGAGTCCTTATTCCAGCCATGCTTCAGCTTTTCCTTAGCACTTTGGCTTTACATGTCTTTCCTGTATGAAGGTGGTGCTGGTTTAAGCTGAAGACCGGAGAAGTTTCAAGATGCCAGATTTTCTGCTATGGGCCCTGTTCTGCTGGAGCCTGTTGCCCAGCTCTGTCAGCTGTGTGGGGCCAGAGACAGGGGGAGAGATTCTGCAGCACTTCAGGGAAGTCAAGCTGTGCCTCCTTGTGCTCAAGCAGTTCTCCCCGAAGACACACCCTCCCTGGCTGCCACCAAATATACTGCAGTTACCCCTTTGCCCCTTGTCTTGAGGACTGATTCCCTGATACCAACATGTCCCTCATGCAGAGGAAGGTCTCATGCTGCATTGTGCGGTTGAGGAGATCTGGCATCTACTTGACAGCAAGATTTCTGTGCAGACTGAGGGCCCTGTGCTCATGCACCTGGGAGTGAAGACATTTGTTGGTCTGAACTCACCCAGAGTAAAGTAAGCTGCTCAGAGGTCTCCTTGGAGCCAGGAAGCTACTAAAAAATGTGTTCAGGATCTGAATTCCCCTTGACTGCAGTGGGTTTCTACAGCAAAAATGACAGAAGCAGTTTATCCCAGATAGAGTGGTTTCTTCAACAGGCCACGTATGAGTCCTGCAGGTTAACGCTCAGCTTGCATGCTTTACCGATTGCCACAAATACTGCTTTTAAATCAAATTGTCACTTTTTATTCAGGGATATGTTTCTCCTACGTGTGCTTCGGAAGAGCATGCCTAACAGCTTGTATCCATTTGTTGTGAAGAGCCTCCTGGCCGATCCAAAATGATTAGGCTATGTCTGCATATCTAATAGGGGTTTTGGGACCTTGCAGCTGGGATTAGCCAGTGCAAATGTTTCCCATTAGCTCCCTGCATTCCCCTAAATTGTGATTCAGCAAGAGAATCGGTGGAAAGCTGAACTTGAGGCATGTGAGATGTTTCTTTGAAGTTACTTGTGCTTAAAGTTAGGCATGATCTGAGTTGGCTTGCTAAGCTGAGGCCCTGAAGAACCTACTGTGCTAACAGTGTAAGTGTAGTCTTTTCCTCTTATGCATTGTCTGGAGTGATGTTAGTTTCAGAAGCAGTCTGCTCAGTAAACTAGTCCATAGTATTGAGGGAAAGTTTTAACTGTTGAGTGGCTTTCTACCAGCAAGCTCAACTACTCTAGAAAGCCCATAGCAATGCTTAAGCTCTCTGGACCTCTAAGGCCTCTTCCTTCCTTATTTTCTTCAGCATGTTTCTTTCCTAAGGCAAGTGAAAAAACAGTATCTTAAAATAGTAGCTTAAAAAGGTGGGAAATTAAGTAGATCATATCATCTTGATCCCTTTATCTCACTTAATTAAGGAGAAGTTTGCCAATAGTGATCTGGTATTTCCTAAAACAAGCATACATGAAGAACACTTTGAGCAACTTCAAAAGAATTTTCAGGCCAGATGAGGAAAAGATAAAACCAGAAGTGGAAACTTATAATACACTTTATAGCTCATTACTGACAGGAAGTACATTGTTGCATAGGATGCTAATGAATTCTGCAGGATGAGGTTTCCAAAAGAAAAAATAAAGGCACCTTCTGTATCTTAAAGGAAAGGTCTCAGGACCTTTGTAATTATGATAGGTACATAGTAGATGTTTATGGTCTTATCATGGAAAGAGTCTACCTCTGGGAAAAGGCTTTTAAAAGTTTGAAGTGTGTACACTATTGAATTTCTGTAGCAACTTCCTCGTCTAGCTGCGAAAAGTAATAAAGGGAATGGTAAAAGTCTATCTTGTTTTCAGTTGCTCTGTTCTACACCCTAGAAGGCAGAAATACTGCACTGCATAAATCTAGCTGCAGGGAGGACAGCAGGAACACATTTGAATGACTAAGGATGAACACAATAAAGTTGCTGCTGATGTTCTCAATCAGGTAGTGAGGATAGCAAAGAGGATAGCAAAATGGATACTCAGATTTAGCAGTGACACTTGTCCGGAAAATGAATATTTGATGGACTCTTAATTAACTCAGCTGAAGAAGTAATCCTGAAATCCTGGATTTGGACAAGGGCCTGAATCTGAAGCTACTGAATTTACTGTTAGTGAGTTAATGCTCTTAGAAGTGTTGTGAAACGGGAATATTTAATATTTGTAAAGCACCCAGAGATCCTACAGATGACAAGTAACAGTTTTCCACTGTTTAAAGAGTTCCCTGGTGTAAGCAGGCCCTTCGGTGGTGACTGGAGAGCTGAGGGGTTGTGCCCCAGGCTCAGCTCATGGTTTCAAGTCCAGACATGCTGTCCCCAGGTTAGTACCAGCTGGCGTTGGGTGCGCCTCTAACATGTGCAACGTGTTGGGCACAGGCCAGTTACCTTGCTGTGCTCCACCATGGGGGATACATCCACCTCTCAGCTCTTGTATTTCACTCAGATTGTAAGAATAGCTTTGCTGTGTGTATGAACATATTTTAGGCAGTAAGGTGTTTCCATCAGGCTGAAGCACACGGGTAGTGAAGCTTGAACATTTTTTTCTTATGTACAGGCAAGATATTTAAATATCGAGTTAGTTGTTCTTTGTATCTTTAGGCACCCAGTTACTTCCAAGCTTGTGGTCACTGGAAGTCTGTCTTACTGAAAATCAAGAGGCATTTGCCCTTGTGAAAGTTTCTACTCATGCTTGAAAGTGAGATTTGGACTCCTAAGTCACAAAGATGCTTTTGCAAATGTTGTATCTGTCTTTCTGCTTCTCTATAAATCAACCTGCTTGGCCTGAACTGAATGTTTAAATAATAAACAGCTGAAGGACAGTCTGATTGCTTCTTTCTGTTTCCCTTATGGAGCGCTTGGGGTCACATGGCATCTGCTCTGACCTTAAGGACCTGCTTTCTGGAGGCTCTTTTACGATGCTGGCAAACCCCACATTTTAACTAGCCTTTAAATAAGCCAGTCAGTGGTAACTATTCAGGACAGGGATTAGAAGAGTATTCTTACTGGGATACAAGATGGCTCTGTCCATGTGCTGGCCAGGGATGAAGGGCTGGAAAACTGTGTGGTGGAAGAGACTATTAATGTGATTTTCCACAACTTTCCTTGCAGCTGCATTTTTGAGGAGAGAGAGAGAGAGAGATGGCTAGGCTTGCAGTAACATGTTGTGCCGTCATAAATGCTACAGCCACCATCTGTTTCCAGCCCACGACTTGAAAGAAAACTGAGCAGTAATCTCATAATTCACATGAGCATTTTACACTTGTGAACCCTTCCCAACCTTTGTCTAATAATGAGGGGAGTGCATGGTGCTAAGGTTTGTATTTTTCCTACACGTATTAGTGTTTATTTGTATGTCTCTTTCTGTTGGTTTTGGGGTTTTTTGTTGTTTGTTTGTTGTTTTTTTTTATTATGGGCCCATAAGAAAAATTCTCTGGGAGGAAAATCAGACCAGTTCCATGGTCAAAAGAAACATAATAAAGGCGAAATCCCAATTCCATTGACCTTGCTGGCAAAATTCTCCAGGAGGAGGTGCATTTAACATTCCACACTGTGTCTGTATTGGTTACTTGTTGAATAAAAGAAAGGAAAACATTAGAAAGTGAAGAGGCAGGTTGCTGAACTGCCCTTTCCCTGCAGAAGTAGAGCTGCTAGAGTAGCTGGACATGTGCATTTTAAAACCACACCATCAGATAGGATAGTAATGGTAGGTTGGATTTTAATGAAAACAAATTCTTCTGCTAATCTTTGCTTCGGGCTGGCCCTCCTGGGATTAAGGATACCACCTGCTGTGCCAAAGACATGCTCAGGTTCGAGTCTGAGAGTGACTGTGGTGAGCGATGGATCGCAGTCTGTCCTGTTGCAGTGCCCTCAGGGAAGGCAAAGAGTTGAGATCATTTAGTTGATGGAAATACTGCTCCCCTCCAGCCTGCAAAGCAAGGCTAGCATCATTAAGGATTTCTTTTTGACTGTTCTGCAAAACCAAGGGCTGCTGTTTCTTTGGGCCTCCTCTCGTCTTTGGACCCAATTTGCACGCCTCTTCCTAGCACAGCTGAACTGGCTGAATGAACTCCTGCTCTCCTCTGGCCTTAGAAACAGTGACTTTCATCATCTCGACCAGACTGCAGGGCAGTTTAAGGATGAAAGGGCTTCTCATTTCATATATCCCACTGCTGCTAGAACTATAAATCCTTGATGGACTGAGTTTATAGCAAACTGCTACTGCGAGCAAGTGAAATTTATTTTGTGTTGTCATATGTATGGTCAAACTGTCTAAGAATTTGCTGAACAAAGAACTGAGCTGCTGATGGGCAACCCATTCAATCTCTTCTCATTTTATTTAAAAATAATAAATAACTATCAATCAAAGGAACTTATTTTGACATGTGCTACCTGTTGGGTGATCCTCAGTATCTCCAAGATGTGTCTGTAAGTGGAAGAAAGCTGCCAGCTGTTGCCAGGTCCAGCATACATGACATGAAGTTCCACCAAGAAAAGGTTTGTGGCCTCACTAGGGGGGAGGTTAAAGGCCACGGCCTTTTTTAGCACTGTTTGCTGTTCTGAGTGTGCTTGGTCAGGTAGCAGGCGTGCACAGAGGCCATATCCAGCCACTGCTTGAATCAGTGACAAAGCTTCCTTGACCTGTATATGGCAGTGGTCCTTCTGTCTTGAAGTTTGCTCAAAGATGGATTGTTGGTGGATCTCTGGGGTCTAGAAAGCCAGCTTGTGTCTATTTTGGTGCCTTGTGATGTAGATGATCTAAAAAGGAGATAGTAGAAACTGCAAGCTGGTGGGGTCTGAATCACATATATTTCTGTATCATTTTCTTACAGAGCGAACAAGCCTGAAAAGTTACCTTATTTTTATTTTTTCCCCAGCCTAATTAATTATAGCTGGGGGTGTTGGGAGCTGTCATATTAAACCTTTCCCCGCTTACTCCACTTCTCCTGCCGGATTCAATCTGCAGCCTCCCACCCCCTCGTCTGTAGTTTATGGCCACATCTGGAGTGTCTGCCCTGCACACGTGCTGGTAGGAGCCTTCTCCCCACTGCCACACATGTCATGGCCTTTGGTGTCCGAGATGTTATAAGCATCTTTCCCAATGCTTGTTTTTGCATGAGAGGGAGAGAGAAAGGGGGCACGGGAAGGGCAATGGCAGGGAAGGCCTCTGACATGAAATTCCCAGGAATAGGATTTGCACATTTTATGACCGTTCAGATGGAAATGCAACGGAGCTGAATTATTACTCCTTAATCCTGCTTTCTCACTTTCCTCCCAGTAGCCTCCTCCCCTCGACTTTAGGTAATACAGAAGCTTATAAACAAATCCCACCGCGTGAAAAATAGCAAAGGGGAAAAAAAAAAAAAAGGACCTGGGTTAGGGCTGTGATGGATAGACAGGTGGAAGGCAGGCACCAGAAGGGAGGATGAATGGCAAAAGCCTTTGATGGAAACACTAAAGAGCTATTGAAAATCTAAGGGGTGGGGGGAGGGAGGAGAAAGAATAGCAGGAGGAGGGAAAGCAAGGGAGCCGTGCCCCCCTTCCCCCCCGCCCTCTTTCTCAGGATGTTGAAAGTATTTGTCCTTCGTTACAAAATGATTGAACTGCCGCCAGGCCAGGCCACCCTTCCAGCCATTGCACTGGGAAACTGGCACTTCTGAAAGCCTCGTTGCCTCTCAAATTTTATAGCTTTCCCTTTTTGTGGGAGTTTTTGTGTTGTGCTACTTGCAGGATTGTTTTCAGATTTGCTGCGTATCAAAGAAACTATATTTTGTTGCTCTGACAAACACAGAATCCAGGTAATGAAAGGAAGAATTACAAAATAAAGGCCCATTTTTATCAGAATACCCAGCTGTCTGCCTTTTATTGAGTCAGAATTTCATGCATTTGGTATTCACTATGTTGCATTAATATTCCTTTGGTTTATCTCTAGCGTTTTTTGCAGGAGGAATTTCATCCTGTAAATAAAGCTTCTACTCTACTGATGTCTCTGTGTGCACAAAAGCAGTGCCTGTTCTTCACAGTCGGAGTAGTGAGGCTGATCCTGTTATATCATAATTAAAATGGTTTTTGCATCAGGCGAGTGCAGACAACAGTGGGAAGAGATAATCTTTCATCTTTTCAGAACGGTCCCTGAAGTTCTACAATGTCTTTTTCCTGCAAGATCTACAGATGGGAAAAACTGTTGAAGATATGCATACGAGACTTATTGCTGTCAGAGGCTGTATTTATACCATGTGTTTATATGTGTATGTATTTATATAAGCCTGATGCCTGGGGAGGACTGAAGCCGTGTGTATTCTCAAGAATTAGATCTGGGTGTCTGTAGATGCATCCTCCACCCAGGCTCTTGCTAACCAGGGGAGGTCCCAGGGCCGTTGGTGTCTACCCGACGCTACTCATGTGCCATCGCTGTCAGAGGCTGATGAGCTTGAGGTGCCCTGGGCAGGGGGGGTGAGAGGGCTCCTGGCTGTCCCCTGGGCAGGTACCTGCTCTGTGTGCCAGGCGGGTGCACGTCCCCCCCTTCCCATCGGCCGCATCGCCCTCGACACAGCCCCAGGGGCGCTCCTCCAAGTAAACAGTGCGGACAGTCAGCTGTCCACTGCATCCAAGATTAGATCCTGGGATTAGGTCTCTCATGGGCTGGGTGTGCTGTATAATTAAAATTGGCCTAGGAGAGTAGAGGCAATATGCAACCCCTACACAGCTGAAGGCTGGGGGGGGCTGTGCTTGCTTACAGACCGACTGCAGCTGAAAGTGAATCTTTCCACTAACATGACTTTGCAATCACACTTTCCACCTAGACATCTCCAGTGCCTGGGTACATGTTTACAATGCCCTGAGAGAGGTAACACTGCCTTTATCCCCATTTCCAAAAGATGAATAAGGATAAGTGATTTGCTCAAGGTTAGATGGGGAGTCACTGGAGATGGTGCTTCAGTCTCCTGCCTTCAAAGGAATTTGCTGCAGTGACCAAAGCAAACAGCCCCTGCTGTTACAGAGCCGGACCGTGGTGTGTCATTCACACTTTGTATCTGAGATGCTGTGTCTGGAAAGGTATCGCTGTCCTTGCGAACTAACTTTTAGTTCTTGAGCGTGGGTGAACACTTGTCATCGTGCCAGGATGACACAAAGTCTAGAAATTATGATGGCAATTCAGGTCATGGTATAACGGGAGAAAAATGCTGCCTCAGAAGTGTCCCCGTCTAGTGTCACTGCTAGTGATTATTTGAGCTGCAGGACATGGCCGTGGCAAAGATCAGGTTGTAGCTGATATGAATCATGCCTTAAATAACACTTTCCTTCTTACATTGTGAAAATTGCAGAGGTATGGGAAGTGAGGGAAAATGGGATCTCCCTGGAGGTTAAAGATTTTCCTTTAATCAGCTTTCATAATGTTAATTAAACGTTTGGAACAATGGCTCAGTCCCGGGATCCGCCCGCTCTTGCATAACTATCTCACAATACCGTTTTCACTTTCATGTTTATTTGCCAGCATGATTCTAAGCAAGAGCTGAGCAAGACTCCTGCACCAAGGAGCTACTTGGCTTTTGGAAAAACTCAGCTCCCTATTCTAGAGAGAGTGAAGACCCAAACTCTCCCCTCCTGAGAATGAGCAGCCTAGAGGGATCACAGCGCTTTGTCTGTCATCATTACCTCATCTGCAGATGGGGCTAATAAAAACTTACTGGTATTTTGAGACTGGTACATACAAATATATACGCACCCATATGGAGAAATGGGTGTGTTTATAGAGATCAGTACATGGATAGATATATTCCAGGTAGGTAAGATATTATATATTGCAGTGCAACTTGTTCCCTGAATTCTTCACTCCTTCTGTAGTGTAGTTGTTATATGCCCATGGGAGCCATCCCTTCTGGTCCTTTGAGCGAGGGGCTTAATATAACCCAGGCTTGTATCATACACACATGGAGAGCTCAGGGAAAGAGAAAATTTGGGGAATGGTTCACAGACAGGGGATGACAATTATTACCCCAGGGACTGCACACCACAGGAGCAGGAGCTGTGCCGGGTGTACTTCCACAGCCCAGGAGAACCTCTTGGTGCCAGACTGGTGTGTCTCTTCTGGTGGTCTGAGATGTGTCGGTATGTCCCAGTCTAGTGATGATGTGCGCAGAGCACCCGCCAGGCACCCGCATGCAGGGGGGTGCACAGGCATATGGAGCCACAGCCTGGCCACCTTTGATCTTCAAGTTAGAAAAGACTTCTTTCAAAAACAAGGCATTAAAACTTATAAATGTCAGCCACTATCAGAAAAAAAAAAAAAAAAAAAAAAAAAGATTTTTAAATATGTGCAAAATGCAGTTTCTGCAGAAGGACCATTAATCAGCTGCTGGGAGAACTGCCTTTTTTAAGCTGCAAAGATGAAAACAAAAAGCTCTGAGTGCCGGGGCAGCTCCATTTTCTCGTTGTACGGATGGCGGGTCTTGGTGCAGGAGGGCACCTATATCCATGCAGGCTCTTGCTTCCCTAGCAACATGTTAACATCTTTGCAAGAGCTGTTTAAATACGCCGAGCCGCTTGCCACGCAAGCTCTACATGGCAGTTTCCCTGTTGACACATGCTTTTGTCTGCTTAGAGGAGGTGCTCTGTAAACATAGATGGTTTTCATGTTACCTATTTCTGATTCATTGGTTCTAAATTAGTAGCTCAGAGGCACATACCTTTTGTACAGGCAGGGAAGGGATTGCCTCTCTTCTCCCCACCTTTGGAAACTTTGACCTGCTAAGATCACAGACTGTAGGAAATCTCAGAGGCGAAGTCCCAGGTAGTGCCAGCAGTAAAAGCCTGGAGTAAACAGATTAGGTGTGTTTGAAAGGGAGCTTGGACTATCTGGCTCAGTTTCCATACACCACAGGCAAGATTAATTTCAAGACTGATTTTGATAGTGTGAAGCCTTCTTCCTTAAGAGGAGAATTGGCTGTGTAATTAATATATAAACTTTTAATTTTTTTTCTCTTTGGCAGTATGAAACACGAGGAATCGAAACTACTTCTCCACACCCCTTCGATTAGCACAGGAGTGGCAGGAGGAGATTTTTCTCTCCTGGTCATTCTGAGCAACCTTTGAGCCCAACTTTTCCACCCTGTTCCCATTAAGAAGGCGCAGAGGCCACGCAAGTGAGCCCCCAGCCAGCTGGGAGACGTCAGCTGCCTTCAAAGCCTCTGCCAGCCCTTCTGCGATAAATCATGGTGAGGTGTGTAATGCGTGTGGTATCTGCCCCATATCCCACACAGTTCTTGTCCCGGCAGAGATGAATTATTTTTTAAAAATTAGAGGACAAAAGGGAAAAACCATTTCTGGAACTTTTAAGTCACTTTATGGAGCAGTCAAGGCTATAGGGGTTGGGTCTTGTTTGACTTTAACTGAGAGCTGCTGGCTGTAGGTTTTACCACCCTTCTGCAGGAGTGGGGTGGCAAAGGCCTGAAAGCTGAGCTGCTCCCGCCTGGATCCTCCCTTGCAGATGGCAAAGGACACTGTTAATTTATACTTGAAAGCAATACAGAACCCTGTCTGCACATTTTGGGCTGAGACAAATGAAAATTTTGTTGTCAGTCTGGCTTGGCATCACCTTTCCGATTCTCTTTTGTTTTCTCTCCCCGTGAATCATCGCTGCATTCACTTCTCTTTTGTTTGTTCCATAATTGCTGGCTTAACCTGGAGGCACGAGGCTTCCTTGTGGAAACATCACCACGCTGTCAGTCAGCGAAGGAGAGGTGGTACAGCTGGTACAGACCTTCCTCCCTCTCAGGAGTGAATGAATCATCCCTTGAATATGCAATATCATCCAGGACAGGAGCCAGGATCCTCAACAGGCACATGAATTCCAGCATCTCTGGAAACATTATTTCCACATTTTGGGCAGACTAAGAGACAGTAAGTAAATAAGCAAGCTGTGGCATTTGCAATCTCTGTAGTTTTATTTAAAGTGACTGCCTGTGCTCTAAATCCTTGTGTGGGTATTAAAAATACAAGGAGCATGTATCCTTGATCTGATACTGCCCAAGGCAGCTTCAGGGTATGGCCCATTTAATGCCATTGAGCAGTCCATTGAACAATTAAGAACCCACCAGAAACAGTAACTGCCTGCTTTCCTCCTGAAAACTCACCAACCAACGCATCCCAAACCCTCTCTGTCCCTGGCCTCTACATTTCTCCATCGAAACAGTGTCAGTGCTGTCTTTTGGTCCCACATGGAGATGTTTCACATCACCCTTGCACAAGAGCAGCAAATGTCACACGGTCTCCTTCCCTCAGCCAGGTTCTTCTTTGAAAGTGTTTCCCCTCCAAGGAAAGGCCAGTTTCTCATGGCTGTTCCTGGGCTGTGGGTGGGACATAGCTGGGGAATCAGGGAAGCTTCACTGCACCATCGGGTAGTCCATGGTACAGCATTTTATAACATCCACTGACTTTGCTAAGCTCTCCTGTGCTGTCCTCATGAATTCGATAAAACGGCTCCTGAATGAATATACAATTAGATTTCACTGTTGAATGTGTGAGAAATACAATGGGAGAGGAACGCTGACCTGATCGGCAGAGAAATGCTGGTCAGGAGGGCTACGATGCTGTTTACTCTGTTATTAATACCAATAGCTAAGACTCCTTTTGCTTTGTTTTTGTGACAAGGTTATAGCTACATGTTAACCTTCATCAGTCCTTCTGATGATAATGGTGAAAGTGAAATACCATTAAAATTATCTTCCTATATGTTTAAACCACTCTGGCCCTTTTCCAGGCAGTATTTGTGCCCCTGTTTATGCCGCAGACCCTGGTGACCCTAGAATACTTTTATTTACAGCAGCATAAGCATCATTTCCATG